GCCCAAGCATTTTAACTTTACGTGGAGAGTTTATTGGGGATAGTGGAGGTGAGAAGTGTGAGTTTCATGATGAAAACTCATGCATAGAGGTGAAAATGTGTCTTTTGGGGGGATACTTTGTCTATGAAAATGAAGAAATAGACCAAAGAGAAGAAAAAATGATACCCACAAAGATTGCCCAGGTAAGAATTTTGTAATAAGAATGGAAGAACTGTGGAAGACAGGAAGTAAGTTTGAGAAATGGGTAGTGCATCTTTGGTACCATCCTATGCCCATTCAGCGGGCATTTCCTCTACTGCTCTATGTCTTCTCCTGGCTCTCTGTGGCCCAGGGACACCTTCTCTAACCTCCCCTTCCTGTCTGCTATACCCTTAGTCCTCATTAGGATGTACTTCTGGATCTCTGGCCTGGGTGATTGTATTGCTAATGTGATGCCCTCATAATGGGTATAAATATGTTGACTCTGCAAACCACTGTCTTTAAAGTCTAAAACAAAGGTTTGGGTAGCCTGGGACTTGACTGATTCTAATGGAGAGAACATCAGTCTTGAAAGCAGGACATTTGGGGAGATCATTATGGACTGGAAGCTGTGCTGAGAGACCAGAGTCCCTCGAGTCATACCTGCTTCATCTAAGCAATGAGCCAGCTCAAAACATGCATATTAGAATATCAAGTTTAAGTTTGATAAAGATAAAGTTGCAAGACTGAAGGAAGGTGGCAAGCATATAAAAAAATATGATCAGAATCTATAATGCACTTTTGGGGCTTTGAATAATTTTTCCCATTAGTTAATTTATTTTTTCATGGGCAGTGACTGGGGACAGACTAACTTGCCAAGTACTCACTGTGCACCAGGAACTGGACAGAAGCTTTGTAAATATTGTCCCAGTTAATCTTTCCCACAAACCTGCAAAATAGCTAGTGAATCAAAATTCTAGGCTGGAACTCAACAAGGATATGTTCCCAAAGCTGCTGCAGGAACTGACATTAGGATTGGTTCTTAAGAAAATCTGTGAATATCTTTCCCTGAACCCACATGTCTTGGAAGAGGTCTGAGACGAGGAGTGAGTGCGGCCACACCTTTCACATGCCCAGTGCACAAGCCAGCTTGCATCCACCTCACAATTCTTCAAGTGGCTTAGTTGTGCTCTTGGTTTTGCCCTAAGTCTTAAGTTCATATGTCTTGTCACATCAGTGAGAAAAAAGGCTGATGGGAATCACAGCGGTCCAGTAAGGGAAAATTAAAGGTCAGAGATGCAAGGAAGCAAAGGTCCTTACCCAGGGCCTGCTGCTGTTTACAGTGGTAGGGCTGAATCCTGCAAAAAGGAGGGGGGCAGCAGCAGGATCATTGACATAACTCGGAATTCCTTATATCTTTAGCTTCACAGTCCGTCCTCTCTCACTGCTCCAGTCTCCACAACACGACACATTGATGTTTTCCCAACACCTCTTGAATAAGGCTTCTCTGGACACAAAGATGGATACTTACTAAAAATCTCTACAAATTCTCATGACTGAGCATGCTCTCATTTATTCAATTAACAGTTATAGGAAGGCTGTATATTCTAGGCATGTCCTGGGTGTCAAAATAAGACAGAGTCATGTCCTCAAGGAGCTTGCGATTTAATCCAGGAGAGAGATATGTGGACAAGTAATTGCAATGCCATGTGATGAGTGCCCTGATAGCTGTATATAAGGGGGAAGAGTAGGTGAAGGAGGAGAAAGGTCAAGGAAGGTGTTCGTAGAGGGGGCCATGTTGAATGAGGAGGAGTTTGCGACTAGATACTTGGGGAAAAAAACACCCAAGCAGTGGCAGTAACAGGTGCAAAGACCCAGGAGAATGAAACAGTCTAGTGCCTTCTTAGGGGACAAGTGGATAGAAAAGTTCAACGGGGTTGAAGGAGGCAGGCAGTCAGACGGTGAAAATATTTGTATGTATTGCTAAAGACCTTGGGTGTTATTTGTAAGTTATGGGGAGATTGAGGAATTCCTGACACCTTGAAGCAATGGAGATTTGTCTCAGGCCAGGTCAGTGCTCTGCCCTCTCCCATTCTTTCTTTATAGGACCCCCTTCTCTTCAGGTGCCAAGGGCTGAGTTAATCACACTTCTGGTTCATGACACTCTTGCTGTTGACATGGGTCTATGCACAGCCCCTTGTTTATTTCATTATATTTTATTTTTATTTTATTTCATTTTCCCCCTTCAACCATGATTCCCACACAGCCATTCCTTCCTCCCCACAGAAGACAATCCGCTCTGATGGATTTGGCAGATGTCCTCAGATATTTATGTATGCTTATAACTTACACTGTGCTCTTTTGTAGGTGTATGTGCGAATTCACAGAAAGGGTGTTGTGATGTAACTTTTTCTCATTCAACACTGTGTTTTATGATCTATCTTGTGGTTCTATGTATATTTAATTTATAGCTTCTTACTCCTGTATAATATCCCATAGAATCTATTCACATTTTCTGATCCTTTCCCCTAAAGTTGAACAATTCGAGGTTCACTGCTCTTTTGAAAACACAATGCAGCAATAAACATCCTCGAATATGTCCCCTTACAGATCTGGGTAGGATTTTCTTTAGGATATGTAATCAAGACTGGAGTTATGAATATGAGCTTTATAAATCCTTGGTTTACCAATTACTGGCAGATTGCTCTCCAGAACAGCTATATAGTTTACACTCCCACCCATAATACGTGAAAATACATGTCCCTTCATTCTCACCAAATATGGTATTTTCTGACTTTTCAAACTTATGTATATCAAGTGGCATCTCATTTTAATATCTATTTCTCTGGCTGCTAATTTGGTTGAACATCTCTTCAGTGATTTGATAACTTCGGATTTCCCTTTATGTGAATTTTTCATTTATATTCTTCATTTTTCTGCTGGGTTTTCTTTCTTTTTCTTATTTGTTTGTAGGTATTCCTTGTGTATTAAGATATAAATCCCTTGGCTTGTTTAATCATTGCAAACATCTTTTCCCAGGGTGTCACTTGTTAATTTTATCCATAGTATTCTTCATTGAACAGAAATACTCAATTTTGATAAAGTCACAACCATAAAGTTTTTTTTTTTTCTTACCTTATGACATATACCTTTTAGGTCTTGTTTAAGAAATTCACTCCAACCCCGAAGTAGACAAAGATACTCTTTTACGTTTTCTTCTTTTGGCTGTATAATTTTAATCTTTTATATTTAGGACTTATTGATCTGAAATTCACTTTTGTGTATGGTGTAAGGGAGGGATCTACATTTGTTTTTCTCCAAATATCAAGAAATTTACCCCAGCTCTATCTACTAAAGAATCCGTTTCTTCCCACTGACATGAGATGTCACCTTTTTCATTTATCAAGTACCCATATGTCAGTGAGTGTATTTTGGAGGACTCTATTTTGTTTCATTGTTCTCTTTGCCTATTCCTACAGCATTACCACAGTGCTTTAGGATAGCTCTTATTTCTAACAGGGTAAATGCCCTTTGCATTTATGAATTAATTTGGGGAGAGCTATTATTTTAAAACAAGTAAGTCATTTCATCCATTAACATAAAAAATCTCTACATTTATTCAGATTCTTTTTAATACCCTTTTAAGGGTATAAAGCTTTAGATTTTTCTCCATAGAAGTCTTAAGCATGCTTTATAATTTCATTCTTAGACTTTATATAGTTGTTGTTGTTAGTATGAGTTGTGTCATTTGCAAATTATATTTTCTCTGTAATTGTTAGTGCAATGAAAATACCAGCTCTCTTGTTCTGACAGGTTGTTGATTCTGAAGGTTTTCCATGTAGGTAATCATGTTGTAGCAAATAATTATACAAGAAAGTCTCTTCCCTTTCAATTCTTTTACTTCTAATTCTTTTTCTTCTAATTCTTTTTCTTTGTTATTACACTGGCCACAACTTCCAATATTATACTGAACAATAGTGGTGATAACTATTTTCTTGCCTTGTTTTTTAATCTCACAATGGCTGCATTTAAAGTTTCTCTTTTGGGGCGCCTGGGTGGCTCAGTTGTTAAGCGTCTGCCTTCAGCTCAGGTCATGATCCCAGGGTCCTGGGATTGAGCCCCTGCATCAGGCTCCCTGCTCCGTGGGGGGCCTGCTTCTCCCTCTCCCTCTCCCACTGCTTGTGTTCCCTCTCTCACTGTCTCTCTCTCTGTCAAATAAATAAATAAAATCTTTAAAAAAAATAAAGTTTCTCTTGTAAGTATGGTGTTTGCTGTAGGTGGCAATGCAGAGCCTTAACACATTCCAGAAGTTCCCTTCTGTTCTTAGTTATCTGAGAGTTTATATTTTTATATTACAAATAGTTGTTGAATTGTTTCAAATTCTTTTTAGGCTTCTATGAGATAGCTGTATAATTTTTTCCTTTTTAGTTCATCAATATGGTGATTTATATGACAGATTTTCTGTTATAAAACCATTCTTCACTCCTAGGATAAATCTTATTTTATTATATTATTTTTAAAAAACACTGCTAGGTTCAGGTAGCTATTGTTTTTTTAGGATTTTATATCTTCACAGTGAAATGGGTATAATTTTCTTCTATTACTATATTTTGTATTGAAATCCAGGTTATACTGACTTCATAAAGTGAGTTGAGTAACTTTCTCACTTTTTCTACTTTCTGTAACAGCTTGCATATGGTAGGAATCATGTATTTCTAAGAATTTGGTATAATTTACTTGTATAATTGTCTGGGGTTGGAGGATTTTTATTCTTTTTATGCAAAGGTGAATTCTTTTATTATTTTTCTGATTTGAGCAGTGGTTTTAGTCTAGTCACATTTTAGATTTCATCTTGCATCAATTTTGGCATTTGTATACTTTTATAGACATTTATTCATTTTGTCTAGGTTTTCAAATACATTGGTATGTGTATATATGCATGTATGTAATTTTAAATTTCTAATTTCTTTCTGAATTTTGCTTATTTGCAATTTCTCTCTCATTTTTTTCCTCTTTATCATTCTTGCCTGAAGCTTGTCTATTTTATCGATCTTAAAAAAATTCAAGTCTTGTGTTAGCAAAATTTCTCTATTTTGGAGGGTTGCTATTGTTCAGTATTTTATTGATTTCTCGTGTTTATGACTTCCTTCATATTTCTTTGGGCTTTCTCTGTTGTTCATTTCCAACTTGCTGAGGTAAGTACTTAACTCATTAGTGTTAAGTCTTTCTTGTTTTCTGATAGATATAAGCTTATTAAATCTATAAATTTCATTCTAAGTTGTTATTTTAACTGGTATATTTTTTTTAAAGATTTTATTTATTTATTTGAGAGAGAGAGTATGAGAGACAGCATGAGAAGGAGGAGGGTCAGAGGGAGAAGCAGACTCCCCGCCAAGCAGGGAGCCCGATGCGGGACTCGATCCTGGGACTCCAGGATCATGACCTGAGCCGAAGGCAGTCGCTTAACCAACTGAGCCACCCAGGCGCCCCATTAACTGGTATATTTTTAATACCATTTAATTTTAAGGTTTTTTTGTTTGTTTGTTTCAAGTTTTATTTAAATTCCAGTTAGTCAACATATAGTGTAATATTAGTTTCAGAAGTACAATTTAGTGAATCATCACTTACATATAACACCCAGTGCTCATCACAAGTGCCCTTCTCAATATCCATCACTCATTTAGCCCATCCCCCGCCTACCTCCCCTCCAGCAACCCTCAGTTTATTCTCTATTGTTAAGAGTCTGTTTTATGGTTTGCCCCCCTCTCTCTTTTATTAAGTTTCCTTTTTTAAAAGTTTATTTATTTAAGTAATCTCTATGTAGACCCACTGTGGGCCTCGAACTCACGACCCTAAGATCAAGAGTCACACACTCTTCTGACTGAGCCAGCCAGGGACCCCTAAGTTTCCTTTTTGACCAAAGGATTTGGGTACATCTTTTAGTTTCCAGACATGTACATTTAAAAATTTTTTTTCTTATTACTGATTTCTTTCTATACTGATTTTTTTTGTATACAGTCAGGTAATATTGTTTATTTAATTCTTTAGAATTTCTTGTGGCTTCCTCTGTGTCTTATTACATTGTTATTGGTATATATATGTTTCATATAGACTTGAAAAAGAAGTAGTATATTCTCTCTTAAAGATCATAGGTACATGATAGATAGGTAGATAGACTCAAGTTCTTAGTTTTATTATTTAAATCTTCTTTACATTTGATTTTTTAAAAATCTGAACAAAAGTTCACCATATGGACTTAAAATCTCCTAATCCAGAGTTGGGTGAGTGTCAGTAAAGGAAGATTGGGCATGAGTTGAGTGATGGGGGAGAGAATTGTTTTCCTTCTGTATCCAACATGACTATATTGTGCTGATAACTTATTCTTATAGAGACATGTATTTTATTTACAGTTGTGAGACAAGTAGAAGCAGAGAATGAAGGAGGAAAATGCTTGAGGTTTGGCTGAATGCCTCCTCCCAGTGGAAGGAAAATTAAAGAAAATTTCTCCAGTTTAAGCCCAGTGGATGGCCTATAACCCAGAGAAAGGTAATGTGTGTATGTACATGTAAGTGAGAGTATGTGTGTGTGTGTGTGTGCACATGTATACATACATTTCATGAATTGCCACACTTGGGCACCAAACTGCTTTGCTTTGGTACATCTTGGATAGTGGAAAAACACAAAGAAGAGAGAACACTTTACTATCACCTTCAAACTGCTGCTTCCTGAACAAAACAAGAAAGCTCTCTGCTGTGGTTGGCAAGAATAAGTAATTTTATTTATTTTATTTTATTTATTTAAATATTAAATTTATTGGAATCACTTTTTTTCATAGTTTTTGATTTGTGTGAGTAAATCTCAAATTTACCAGAAATGTAGATGGGGGTTCCACATTAATGGAGTCATTGGGCCTGAGACTTATATTTTTTAATGCATGTGAACTCCCCTGGGGCCCTTAGAAATATTTTGGGAAGTGAACTTTTTAAAAGACTGGATAATCAGGGCGCCTGGGTGGCTCAGTCGTTAAGCGTCTGCTTTCGGCTCAGGTCATGGTCCCAGGGTCCTGGGATCGAGCCCCACATCGGGCTTCCTGCTCGGCAGGAAGCCTGCTTCTCCCTCTCCCACTTCCCCTGCTTGTGTTCCTTCTCTCGCTGTGTCTCTCTCTGTCCTATAAATAAATAAATAAAATCTTTAAAAAAAAATTTTTTTTTTAAATAAATAAAAGACTGGATAATCAAGCAGGAAAAGGACTCAGGGCTATTGTAGTTTGGTCATTTAAATATTAAAATTACTTAATTTGTATTTACAGATAGTGACATCCTGGTTATTAGATGTGTGTGTATCTCTGTGTGTGTATTACCGTATCACATGTATCTAGAAAAAAAAATATATGGCATGTATATAATTTTTTGTCCTCACAGGTAGCATATAGCTTGGTTAACCTGCTTCATCCATTCAACAATATGCCATTAATATAATACAGTAATTAAAAATATTACTAGTAATCCACAGTCAGAAAGAATTAATCCATTTGAAAATTCTAGGTATTCACCACTACTAGCTTGTCTGATCAGGCTCAATTTACTTAGCAGGGAAGTATCCAAACATTTAAGTATGCAAATGTGTAAAGCCAAATGAGACATCGTTTAATTCCTTTATTGTCTCACAGTGAAAGAGAGCAAATGAGCAAGTTGATGGCTTCATGCCAATTATTTTTACTACGATTTCTTTTATGCTAAGGTAGAGTGGAAGGCAAGCCCTCCAGTCCTAGCATGAACACACAGCAGCAATCACATGAATATTTTAGGGGCCATAAGATGCTTTTCATGGCTTATGGTTAGAAATAAAAAATTTAAGTTACAACTGCTTTGGAAAATACGTCATAAACGACTGGGACTAAATGTAAGTGTGTGTGTGTGTGTGTGTGTGTGTGTGTGGCCTCCACCCCAAACGTGCTCCTAAAAAACTCAAGTCCTAGGGCGCCTGGGTGGCTCAGTCGGTTAAGCGACTGCCTTCAGCTCAGGTCATGATCCTGGAGTCCCGGGATCGAGTCCCGCATTGGGCTCCCTGCTCAGCAGGGAGTCTGCTTCTCCCTCTGACCCTCCTCCCTCTCATGCTCTCTGTCTCTCATTCTCTCTCTCTCAAATAAATAAATAAAATCTTAAAAAAAAAACACAAAAAACCCCTCAAGTCCTAGGTGTTCAAGGCCCTCCACAATGCAACGCTCTTTCCTCCTATCTTTCTAGATTAGTCTTTTACTACTCACCCCACTTAATTCAGCTCCACACCTCCTCCGTCCAGTTGCACAAACTTACTTGAACAGGACACGCATTTTCACGTCAAGGAATATGGCCCAAGGACTATCTTCAAATCCCGAGGCCAGTACATGAGCAGTGCAATGGCGGCGACCCTGAGAACCTCAGCCAGGCAGAGACCGACCCGCTGAGCTAGGGAGAGCGGCGGGCTACCAAGGGTTAGGTCATGACCTCCCGCATGACAGCTACATTTCCTCTGCTCCTTTCCACCAGACTGCACGCTAAACTTCACCTAGTCCTCTTGCAGACTGGGTCTCTTGGTTAGAATGGTGACTGCGGCAGGGACCCCATGGAAACCTCTCTCTTCAGCAAACTACAAAGCCCTGTCCCAACGACAGCTTGTCCAGAACATCCATTCGCTCACATCGAGAGGGAGACATTATTATTAATCTGGAAGAGAGCTAACCAATCAGAGAAGTTAGCCTATTTGTTTAAGGATGGTTTTTCCCATCTAGGAAAAAACAAGTATAGTGTTTCTGTGTTTAAAGCACATCAAGAATTAATGGACCTCGGGGCGCCTGGGTGGCTCAGACGTTAAGCGTCTGCCTTCGGCTCAGGTCATGATCCCAGGGTCCTGAGATGGAGCCCCACATCGGGCTCCCTGCTCGGTGGGAAGCCTGCTTCTCCCTCTCCCACTCCCCCTGCTTGTGTTCCCTCTCCCCCTGCTCGTGTTCCCTATCTCGCTGTGTCTCTCTCTGTCAAATAAATAAATAAAATCTTTAAAAAAATTTAAAAATTTAAAAATTTAAAAAAAGAATTAATGGACCTCATTCTCTTTCTCTTACCCAAGGCATATCACTGCTTAAAATCACAAAGTGCTGACCCAGCCTGTGGCTCCAGAACCCGGGGCCTCAGCGCAGCATTTTAAAGACTCATCCTTATAATAAATTACTATTTTAGTTATAGTCCTGGTAACATACGGTGAATGGAAAACACTTTCTGTTATTAAGCAACATACTTCCCATTAATGGTTTTCTATACTTGAGATCGTAAAGAGATTTTAACTCACTGTTCATTTGGTGCAGTTTCTGCTGAATTATTTAAAACACCTCCTTACTGCTTTAACTATGAATTTGCACTAATGAGTACAATGCCCATTAAGATTCCTGCATTGCCTCAAATGCTCTAAAAATAAATACAAACTAAATCCCAACCACAAATACATTTTTCTCTTTGCACTCTGACCTTGTTGTCCTAAGCTTAGGCAAAATACAGAAACGATACACACAACTTTGCAGAAAGAGACAAGCCAGAAGGTTAGGAAATTACGAAGGTAAGAAAAAATTGAAGTCTGAAGGGTGGCTTTTGGGAAGTGCTGGGGACACACGGGGTCTTCCACCACATCTAGGTGGAAAACTCAGCATTTACAGCTGACTAGTATGAGTTCTACCGTCTCCAGAATTACATAACGTAAAATAGAAACACAAGTTCTTAATTTACATAAAATCAGAAGTTAAAGATGTTGTCTCAGTTGGCTGCTTTGAATTGTATCTACTGTGATAAACAATCAAAAGTGAAATCAAATACAATCCATAACTTTGGCTATGTTTCATTTGCCTGTTTTATTTTTGCAAAGCTCAGTGTTTCTCTTGCTCTCAACAACCTCCGCTGAGCCGTGTCTCACCCTTTCTTCCCATTGTATGAAGATTCGTTATTGACTTTTTTTTTAAGATTTTATTTATTTTTTTGACAGAGAGAGAGAGCGAGAGCAGGAACACAAGCAGGGGGAGTGGGAGAGGGAGAAGCAGGCTTCCCGCTGAGCAGGGAGCCCGATGCGGGACTCGATCCCAGGACCCTGGGACCATGACCTGAGCCCAAGGCAGACGCATAACGACTGAGCCACCCAGGCGCCCCATTCGCTATTGACTTTAAGCCCGCATCACATAACGTTCTCACGGTAGACCGAAGTGGTCTCCTATTTCTCATACCACCTCTCGGACTGCTCCGGGCCACGTCTACCTGGGTTTTCTGCTGCTTGCTGCCTCTGCCCCTTCCGCTCCATTCTGAACACTCTACTTAAGGAAGCGCTTCCATCGAGGAGTTCTCAACTAATCCCTCTGACTCCAGTATTCTGATCACTCTGTATCCTCGCACACGTCCGTTTTCCCAAAGTAGCGTGCAAACATGATTTTGAGTTACTTTTGGATTGTCACACGTTTTCACTTGGGCACATCCTGGCTGACTAGTACAGGGTCTCCTTCACGGTACATGTTCCCGCAGGGCAACGGGCGGGTTCGAGTTTCCTTTTGACCCAGAGCGCCATCTACTGGTATAAATGTTGCAATACTATCAACACGCTTACATTCTGCCCCATGAACATAGTCCATGCGTGTGACACACACCAGTTCTCACAGTTTGATTAAAGAATACGGAATGTGCTACCTCAAAGCAGTACTTTGTAACATCTATGTTTTCAGAGAAGAAATGGCAATGAAACAAGAAAAGATCCCCGTTTGGATCCTCTAAATAATAAAACCCTCATCTCCAAAAGATGAGTGTGGATTCTAGACTGTGTCCTCTGGCTGTTTTGTAAACTTTGCTTCTTGTTTATTGAAGAAAAATCACATATGAAATGATAAGCTCAACAATATAGAGTACAATGTCAGAATCCATTAAGGCCTATGGAGATGGCACTGTTTTAGGAGGAAGACCAGTTTTTGTTTCTGTTTTATTCCAAGAACTCAGCCCTTCCATATGGTGAACCACCCCTGCAGGACCGAGCACACCTCTGAGTCCTAAACCTCTGAATTAGCGTGGTCTCTTGGCACAAATTGGAGGGACCGTAGGGACAAAAAGCAACATTAAAAATATTTAGCCCCTGTCTATCAGGCTAACATTTTTGCCTGTTAAATAATTTCTCAAACCCTTTAATAACTCCATCTTTCTACTCGCTCTAAATTCCATCACACTGTGGGTAAATTTAAATTGCACAGAAGTGGGTCTGTAAGTTAACAGAAAACTTTTCTTTCCTTGCCCAGAGGCTGATCTACATAGCACGGGATCATTAGTGACCAAACAGACGCCCCCATCTATAACCCAGAGACAGCTCTCAGCCGTACAGAGAACATTTCACTTCCTACGTAGAGGTGAACTCAGAACTTGTCACTGATTTTTGCACCCTCTTAATCTTCCTGTTTATTCTGTGCTTCATTAAAGTCAATCTCCACAGGGCAGACTGTCATCTGAGCTCGGCCTGTCCTGCTGTCTGCTCTCTCCAGAGAGCATCCTTCATCCTGATAAACGGGCTGTGAGCTGAGCACGTGACTGAGCTCCTTAAGGTAAATAGATTACAGAGAGCTGCTCCTTCCACACTGGCTCAACAGAATTTGATAAGCAGGATCATTGACATGAGCATCATGGTGGAGACAACGTTTTCCGAAAGATGGGGTTTCAGATTTACTGTTGTAAAATGAGATAGCAAAGATTTTTTTTTCATTGTGTAATACCATACCTTTAAGGCTGCATTAGCTAGTGTCATTCATCTGCCAAGTGTCTCCCTCAGGATTTAGCATCATTTATAGGACATCTTCTGTGTGCCAGGCTCTCTGCTAGGCATTAGAGACCTACAGATACACACAGGGAGGGAAAGTGGTGGTGGTGGTGGGCGCTGGAGTGAGCTCCCTGGGAAACCATAAAGCATGCCACCATGACGTGGCCAGCCCATGTGCTCAGATTAGTGGGTGCCTGTGTGCTGGACTCCCAGGCTGTGCTGTGCCAGAGCGATTGTTATATCTCGATGAAAAAGCAACGCTGGGGCCTGAGACTGGTCTCTAGGCAACTCTGTTCCTCCCCTGATTCATGCTGACAGATAAAGCAACAAGCTACGCCTGCCTGGAGGGGCCACGACTGTCCTTCCTACCTGATAAACCAGACACAGACCGGACTGTGGAGAAGGCCAGTCTCATATCTCAGTCAGGGGGTGTAGAGGCATCTTGAGTTCCTGAGCTGAGGACATTTGAGTTCAGACGGCCACCAGCTGAGCACCACAGTCACTCCCCAATACTTGGATGCTGGAACCATGTAAAAGACACCCCACATATTGTGGCAAGGGTAAACGGATGGACAGCCCCAAAAGAAGGTGGAAACTTCCATCCTGGATGATCAGGGCAAGATCTATGTGGAAAGTGTTACAGGGAAGCTCACTCCCTCTTAGCTGAGAAGGGGGGATGAAGTCAAGGAGGACTCCCACCCACCCCACACCCCAGTTTTCCCAAGGTCTGGGTAGCAGAAATCCAAGATCCTCCTCAACAATGACTGCAACTTCTGCCTGGGAGGCTTGCAGAACAGCACAAAGACTGGACGGCCAGGCAGATGGTGTCCTGTTCTGCCAGGGGCCGCTCCTGGCTCCCGTCTTGCCTCTAGTTTACTCAGTGATAAAACCAGCGGTGAAGAGCTCCACGGACAAGACGTCAAGGGCAAGGGCCGCAACATCCATGGGCTGCTGACCCGTGCAAAGCCACCTTCCTCCAAGCTCGGTTCAACTAACTAGTCTTCCTGTCGGCCCTCCAAGTTCTCACTGGACTACGCCAGTCTGTCTCTCCCTCCTCTGAGCTCCTCTTGTGATTTACAATTTAACGTTTTATTATATTCAGTCTCATAATGTAATTACTCCTTGTATGTTGTGTGACCACAACAAGATCACATTTGTGTCTTCTTTGAAATGAGAGACACACAGCGTCAGACAGGCAGCAGGTGGCTCTCACGTAATCTAAACTGGGGATCTGAAAAGAAGAGCTTGTAGAAACCTTCCTCTAACAGAATAGGAAACAGATCTGGAGAATCGCTGCTTTATTTACGCCACAAACGTCTCATGAAACTTTCGAGTCATCGTGCTGAGCCGGGTGGAGGAGACAGAGAAGGGCTCAGTTCTCACGCACTTGCCAGTGACGCCTGAGAAAGAGGATGTGTGGCCTAATTAGCACAGGTGGAATCCGTTAAGAAGGCAAAATGAGCCTGAGGGATCTCATGGGAGGGAGGTAATGGGTCCGCTGAGGAACTGAAGGCTGGTTTGCCGAGTCGGTGGCCCCTAAACCTGATGAAGGATTCGCTGTGTGGGAATTGGGAAGAGTATACAAGTGGCGATGTATTTTGGCCTTTACCGAGCTTCACATCCAGCTCAAAACCAGCCTGCAGGAGTCAGCTGAGAACACTGTCGTGGTGGCTACCATCCATGCTGAGTCCCCTGAGGGTTTGCTGAAGGGGACACTTTCATCCACCAGAATGGGAGTGCCTCTTGATGTGACTGTCTCAGCTCCTGGCTCATGAAGAGGGTTGTCTCTTTCCTCTCCTTTCTCAGTTTCACTCCCCACCCCCCGCTCCCCCAAGTGCAGGGAAGCTTGCAGTCCCCCTTAACCTTTGGCAGTTGGCAGAGGCTCTGACCTTGTCCTGTCCCAGCCACAGCGCAGTAGACCAAGGCACTCCTGTGGGCCCAGCTCCCCACTGCCCCCACGTGCTGCACATTGAGCACCCTGCCGTGGGCCTGGGCCTGGTTATCACAGGGTTCAAAAGGTTTCCCTGGAGACACAACAGAGGGCTGCCCACTCCTCTTTCTGCCTCAGGGCTTGGCATTTTCCATGGAGGGAAGCCAGGCTATTTCTGGGGAAAGCTGCAGGAGGCTAAGCAAACTCAGACCATATAGGCAGGAATCTTCTGAGTCCCCTCTGCCAGTCAGCCCCCTGCCCAACCTCCTCATTCTTCCTTCAGATGGCTCTTGGGTGAAAGCCACATCAAGAGGAATTCTGAAAGTGGCATCTGGATGAAAAGGGAGCTTCTTGGACACTCCAGCAGCTGGTGAGGACCTCATGCCTTCTGATTCCTTAGACTTCTGTCTGACGGCACCATGGGTAGGTATGTGAGAACAACTTCCAAGTCAGGGCTTCCCAGAGTGTCCTCTCTCTTGGCCCTCAGGCTTCTTCTCCCTTAGGTGTGGCCAATTCTAATTCACTATTGCTTTAGAGTTGTAATATCCTTTTCACTTCTTATTTAAGTTCCTATATCCCAAAATTTAGTACAATGAACATTTATATGCAGCAAAATATATGGTCCAGTTCTAACCCTTTGGTAGATGTGCAATTCCATATTGTTTAATGTCACCCTATTTGAGGTAGGCGGCAAATCAGGGCTGTGCCCAATTTACTTTCTCCTACCTTCTAACTTCTCCTCCCTCTCGTCAAGGGCCCGTGGTTGGGGCCTTGGCCTCAGCCGCCCGTCCATCAGGCCAGCATTAACAGGGCTGATGCGGCCAGGCTGAGCTCACACAGCTGCCCCAGGACTTCCAAGTACTTTAAAACACACCTTGCTTAGGACTTTTTGTGGATTTGGACCGAGTGTGGAGGCTAGAGGGGTGACCTCAGTGCCGGAATAGGTCCCAGAGGCCTGGTATTGGAGAGGATATACCACAACCTCTAGACCCCTGTGCTGGTGATGTGACAGCCCAGAGCTCTGAGAACCAGTAGTCCCATGACAACCCAGCTCTGGCCAGTCTGAGGTGGCAGGGAGGTCATTGGAATGTGGTTCCACAGAATCCTTCTCTATTTCCACCTTCAAGACCCCGTTAGGGGTTGTGAAATGTCTTAGATAAGCTCACAGTTAAGATTCAGGAGATAATCACTGGCAAAAATGACACGAAATGCACAGACAGTAAGTACTTCATATTTATCTCCTCAAAAGAGGTTTAACACCAGTAAAAAATTGAAAATAGACACAAAATAGTTTTAATTTTGAAAATTGTCCAATGGAAGCATTTGAATGTGTGATAAAGCGTATTCTCCGTCTACTAAGCAAATGCTTTAGAATCTGTGAACCGAGGCTGATGGAGTCAGGAAGCTTTCTCCAGATTTAAGCCTTGGCTCCCTCTAGTGTCTCTGACTCCACCTTTGTTTCAGCCCTAAAATGCCTAGGATCTACCATCTATTAAGTGAGGATTCAAAGCCCAGTTCAACTAGTTCTCTTCCTTTTACTCCTCCAGAGTGACTGTTGATCACATACTTCTCCTCCCTCTATGAGCTCTGTTATCTCCTGTTGCTTACAACTGACATTTTATTATATTCAGTTTATAAGATAATTGTTTCATATGTATTGTTTTCCCTGCCCCCATCACAATTCTTTTTTTAAATTTATTTTTTAAAGATTCCTGTAGTTACCATTGTATTAGTTTCAGGTGTACAATTAGTTTCAGGTGCCAAGATAAGTGTACCTTTACTCCCCTTCACCTCTTTCATCCATCCCCCCACCCACCTCCCTTCTGGCAACCAGCAGTTCTCTGTATTTAAGAGTTTATGGTTTTTTTGTCTCTTTTTCTCTTTGTTTGCTCTGTTTCTTCAATTCCACATATGAATGAAATCATCTGGTGTTTGTCCTTCTCTGCTGGTTTATTTCACTTAGCATTAGACCCTCTAGATCCACCCATGCTGTTGTAAATACAGTTGGGTCTTTGAAATGGGAAACCTATAATATCAGGCACACAATAGGTGCCTAATACTTTAAACTGGGGAATCAGCATATTAGATTCCGTAGCAAAGGTAATATAGTTTCCCCCTTTTGAAAAATGGGAAAGAGATCCAGAGAATAGCTGCATTATTCATTCCACAAGTGTCTACGGAAACTTTTAAGTCCCTGTGCTAGGCGCTGTGGAGGAGTCAGAGGTGCTGACCAGATGGGCCCATCTCTCATGCACCTGTCAGTGAGGCATGAAAAACGACCTGTGCTCCCATCACTAAAAGTGGAAACCATAAAGAAGGTAAAGGTAAGTCTGAGGGATCTCGGGTGAGGGAGGTAGTATGTGAGCTGAGGGATTCAGGATGGTTTTATGGAGAAGGTAGCACTTGAACCTGATCTTCAAGGATTTGAACAGGTGAAATGTGTAGTGTTGTGAAAGCACATTTGGGGAAGGAAGCTTGAAGAAGAACATCAGAAGCTGACTGGATGCCTTAGGGTCCTCTGACAGCAGGCCTTGAATGCCAGCCAGGAAGCTTGCCCTCTAATGGGTGAGCAGGAAGCCCTACTGAAGGAAGAACTTAGAAAAATATCTAACTTCTTGAACATGTATTGAACTCCTTTTTAAGAAGCGAATTCTCCATCCTTGAAGGTGTTGAAGTACACAATGTGCTTTTATCTAGCCATCTACTTATGATTTCTGAGTAAATTTGTACAGAGGACTCATGCATGGACTGGATAACTGCTAAGGTCACTTTGAATTGAGATTACCCACCTGGGATTTTTGAACCAGAAACTGGCCCTATGTTCTAGGAGACAAGCCGGTATTTCTTTTTATGCTTAGTAAGTGCTCAATTAATGCTTCCTCAACCAACAAATGACATGAACATACTTGTGCTTTAGGAAGAGGAATTTGGTGGCAAGTTTTAAGCAAGAGTGGCAAGGGAGAGACTGCACACAGGGAGACCGGCTAGAACACCATTATCATTTTCAAGGCCTACACCAGGTTAGTGGAAATGGGAATGGAAAGTAGATTGACAATGTGGATGTTGAATCAAGATTACTATTCTGGAAGCGGGGGAGAACGGAGGGGTAGATGAACCATGAGAGATGATGGACTCTGAAAAACAAACAGGGTTCTAGAGGGGAGGGGGGTGGGAGGATGGGTTAGCCTGGTGACGGGTATTGAGGAGGGCACGTTCTGCATGGAGCACTGGGTGTTATGCACAAACAATGAATCATGGAACACTTCATCTAAAACTAATGATGTAATGTATGGGGATTAACATAAGAATAAAAAAAAAAGATTACTATTCTGTTGTAATTATTTGTGACCCTCCTCGATAGATTGAAAATCCTGTGAAAGCAAGAAGCGGACCTTATTTGGCTTTATATCCCCACTGCTTAACAATGACTAGCATATGTAAGTGCTCAGCATGTTTTAAATGCATTTGTGCAGTAAATGTTGACCAGCTTTATGAGTAGATAGTTGCGATGGTATTACTTGAGGGGCACTGGATATCGCAGCTGCTGGACAAGGGGCAGCCGGAGTCTCTGGTTCTGAGCCCAGGACTAGGGTGGTCCTGGTCCTGGGGCAGAGGGAACTCAGGAGACAGCAGCTGCTTCTCCTTCCTCACTATGCAGTCCCTGTGACTCACGTGGGCAAGCCCTCACCCTCACAACCTCATCATGTTTGCATCATGTCCACCCTCTTGCCCTTGTCTCCCCTCTCTTGTTTAACTTCTCACCAGGATTTGACACGGCTGCCCAATCCATTCTTGGAATCTTTCCTTCACTTCCAAGACTTGAATTTCTTCCTATCTTGCTGAGGGCTCAGTTTGTTCTAGTCATTCTGGCTCAACCTCCTCTTCCCAATTTTTAAGTCAATGGTTCTCAGCCCCAGCCGCACATTAGAATCACGGGAAGCTTTTTAAAATCTCTTGATACTCAAGTGGCACCCCATACCAATTAAATTAGAATCTTTGAGGGGTGGGTCCAGGTTCAATGTTTATTTAAAGCTCTCTTAATGATTCCAGTGGTGTTGTAAACCACTGTCCCAAGTATTAGTGTTCCACGGAGCTTAGTCTTAAATCTCTTCCCGTCTTTGGTTGTCCCCCTTGGCCAATGGGTTTCAAGACCATCCTTACTATGTTGACCTGTGTACTTCTAGCCCCAACTTCTCCTCTGAACTATAAACTCACATATATAACTGCCTATTTGAGATCTCCACTAGGGAACAGACATCTCAAATTTAACGGGTGCAAATGGAAATCTTGACTTCTGTCCTCACTTCCCAATCTATTCCTCCCCAGTATCCTCCATCTCAGTTGATAGTATCCTCTGTCCAGTTGTGTTGGCAAAGACAACTTGGTAGCCATCTTTGGCTCCTTTCTTTCTGCCACTCCCCACATCTAATCCACAACCGAGTCCAGCTAGTTTTATTTCTAGAACACATTCTAGACCCAACCGCTTCCTGCCACCTTTCTTAACCATTGCCTGCTCTACTGCTGTGGCTTCCCAGCTATTCCTGATTTCACACTTGCTCCCTTACAGGCTTCTCCTCACACAGCTCTTGGAGGGATCTTTAAGAACATACGTCATATTCTATTTCTTCATCCATAAAAATGTGCCTTGTGGTTTCCTATCACATTTAAAACAAAATTCAAACTCTTGAGTTTGGCTTCCAAAGTTTTTCATGATCTCCCTTCCTGCTACTCTTACCCTTTCTCCTTCTCCCTTCATTTGCTCTGCTCCTGCTACACACCATTTTTGCTGTTTGTGGAACACAGCTTTTGCCTGGGATGCCTTCACCTAAATCTTCACATGGTTTGATGATGATCATTCAAGCCTGTGCTCATATGTTACCTCTTCAGAAACGTTTTTACTGACCCAGCCCCTCAAGGCAAAAATGATCACCATGGTCCCCTATCTTAACCTTGCTTTATTCTCTTATCAGCTGAAATATTTATTTGTGTTCATTTCTCTGCCTCCCCCCATAGAAAGTGGGGACCTTGTCTGGTTTGTTGCTGGTTTGTTTGTCTGCTGGTTCTCCGGCACTTGGTAGGTTCTCAATAATTATCTGCTGAGTGAATTGTTAAATCCAGAGTTGAAATTCAAACTGCTAGTGAAGCAGATTGTCCTACCAAATTGTCACTGTGAGGTGGATGAATAATCTCAGCACAAGGGATGATGAATTCAAGACTCGATTAAAGGTGTTTTAGGAGAGTATCTGGCTTAGTCTTTGGGCAGACTGTCTCCCACCTCACCCACTCAAACTTCCTTTCTTCCTCTACTCATGGCGTCTGAAACTCCTCCTTTGGCAATTCAGATTCATTGAATTGAAAGGTTTTCACCTTCCATAGAATTCTCTACTAAAATTCAAATACACTCAGCATGTGTCTATTGACTAATAAAAGATGAGGGAGGGAAGATTTTTCTGAGAGACCAGACCAAGAGCTGAGGGGACTAAGAACAAAGGGAAGGCAGATGATTTTCATACTAAATTTTCTTCACCATGCCGTAATGCCTTTGACAGTGATATTTGAGGAAATTGGTCCTTTAGAAAGCTGAATGGCTATCAGCCTTAACAAGAAACTTCCTGTTGGATTCTGTTGGGACTAGCAACCTCCTAATGTCTCTCTCCCCTGTGTACTTCCAGTTCCATTCCCAATCCCCAGTGTTACTTCCCGAGTGTGGGGACTTGACAATTTGGTAGTCTACCTCTAATGCTCTTCTCCCATCTGATCTGTCTTTCTATCACAGTGAATCAACCAGCTCGACCTAGAGCCACAGGAAAGTAGTTCTGTACCAGGGGATTTTAAAATGCCTAAAAAATATGTTATTAAATGCTGGTTAAAAACCTATTTCCTTATTATAATACTTATATTTTAATAACATATTAGAAACAAAGAATTTGATTTCCCTAGTGTTAAAATTTGTGTTCTCTGAGAAGCAAACTCAGAGATGGAGACTAGCATGCAGAGTATGCTTTAGAAAGTAGGTACCCTTGGGATCAACATTTTGGGAAGGGAAGGAGGCAGAACTGCGTAGCAGGAAAAGCTGAGCTCAGTGCAGTCTCAACGAAGGCCTCAGCTCACCCTTTGGGGAGCTCTTCAGAGGAGCTGAAATGGCCCTTTACAGTCGACTCCCCTTGCAGTGAGGAGGCTAGGCTTTCATATTCTCACATCAACCAGACAGTGGATGCAAGCTGATCCTGGGTGGAGAGGGTGCTCTGTAGCCAAGGGCAATTTCTGGACCAGCCTGACCACTGAGTGCTGCCCGCTGACAGCACTACCCGAAGACAGGTCTGGGCGACACCACACAGAATCCATTACACCTAGTGCTTTCATGCTGATGTCCCTTTTTGGTTGCTAACATTATTCTTAGTATCTATTGAAAGACAGTTGGATAAATTATGTACTGAGAGTCTCTACTGAATTGGCTTTACTACTGAGTCTTTTCTTTTTAATGCGGTACTTCTGAAATACTTTAACTTTTCTGTTCCTAACATATGTTATAATTATATGTAGATAAGATTGTTGTTTGTCAATGTCATTCTTATTTAACATTTTGTGAAGCATTCACAGGATGCACCAGGGTCCTGGGATTATTTCTTAGCCATCTGCAGTGGCCAGTCTGGCTGATTAGAAAGGTAAAATTCCGCTCTCATTAATCCTGCATTCACCACTGAATCCAAGTCCCAGGAGTTTTCCTTAAAATAAATAAACAAACAAGCAAACAAAATAAATCCCTCAGCCTGGATGATGTCAAAGGAACTAATTACTCAGGCTTCTCATTACAGTTTTGTCTATGTAAGGACTGTGGATTGGGGTCCTGAGTAAGCATAATTGAGAATTAATGTGTTCTGTGCCTCAGAGGTGGGAAATAAAACTGAAATGGCCCACATGAGGGAAAAAAAAAAGATTTTTATTGTGTAAGTGAGACAATAAGATCCATGATTGTAGGCTTTATTGCTCAGGCCTAGCCAGCAGATACAAACAAAAGAATCCTCTCTCTATGGTGGTCTTTCACGCTGGCAAGATTAGTCTCTGAAATAGGACTAAATTACACCTACCTTATTCATCTCTCTGCAAAAAAACGTGGACATGGAAGAGCAAGGAAGTTATACTTAGTATATTCTGCATAGGTCTGAGCAAACATTAGGCAAATAATGGATTCTTAACAGAACTGATGTACTTGTCTGGAGCTCCGACGTTGTGGTTGGGACTCAGAGTTGGTGCCAGTTGGTCCTTAGGCTCCTCTCCCTCTCTCTGCACTACTTCCAGCACCTGTGGATGATGAGGGATGTTAACTGCTTCTTTGCAGCTTTGGTTATTGCTGAGGGGGCTATGTTCAATGTTTCGTCTGGATGGCAATATGGTCCAATGGCTTGGCATGTGACTCTCAAATCCTGGCTTCATCGTTTAAGTTTTTTTATCTTGGGCATCCCAAATTATCTCCTCTGGTCCTTAGGTTCTTCCTCTCTAAATTAACAAGGACCATAGTGCCATTCCTAGAGTTGTTAAAAACATCACATTAGATAATGTGAAGTGTTGATGGTGCATAGTAAAAAAATAATCAACATTAGGTGTTATTATTATTTGCTAGGAATAAGTTCACAGGTATAAGATGAGGTTAAGAATTACTTGGACATTTCTGGAACAAAGAGAGGGACAGCTAGCCCTGGTTGAGCTGAGAATTCTCTGAATATGTACAAATAAGTAAATAGCAATAAAGAATAATAGTTTCCATACAGAGTTGAAACCAATGAGATAGATTCCCTCTTTAAAGTTTGATGTCCCTGGGAGCTGTATTAGACAACTTAGTGTGGCAAAGGTAATAAATGTTAAGGTAGGAGTGGCTGTTGCTGTCAATGGAAGTCTAGGAATTGCTATTTCTGTCAATCACAGAAGACACACATCAGTCAAGGAATTGGACTTCCCTACACCAAAAAACCTTCCCTGGCTGAGCAGAACAAGATGTGGACTCACGAAACTCAACAACCTGCTTTTCTCACAAGAAAGTATTAATTATGTAAGTAATAATCCCTTGTTTGTCAAAAAACTCAACAGAATTTCAAATTTTGACCTGGAAGCCAGCTTAGTGAGGTTCTGCTCCACTAAGGTATTATTGATTAGTCAGAAGGAATGTGTCTCTGGACTGCTTCTAGCATTCCTCTTCCATATTTTAGGTATTTAATTTGGAAATCTTAAACTTCTATGTTAGAATGCCTATTGATTTTTTTTTTATGTACTAGAGAGGAATTTCTTATATATAATATTGTTTTTTCTAGTTGACTATGCTCCATATTTATTCAACAAATACATATTGAATGCTCACTATGAACCAGCTATATAGTAGGTGGATATTCTGAGTGAAGGTAAAAGGAGGATGATTTAAAAAAAAAAAAGTTAATAGGCAAATGCCTTTAAAATCTATCAAATATGTGTATTTTTTTCTACTTTGCATTCATGAGTCCAAATGATCTCAACTCTGTTTCCTTAGTGTTGGGAACACATCTCCACGGTGTTTAGTAAAATTTCCACTACCTCTGACACGGTATCATGCATCCACTTGACACATTTGTCAATTGATGCTAAAAGATTTTTATAGTCAGTAGTGGAGACAATGACTCCCAAGGGCAATGTGATTACCAATAACGTAGTTTCTCTTATTTGAAGAAAGTTAGTAACAGGTATAAACTCAGTCTGAATAAATGATACAATTCATGGGTGTTTTTTCCAACCGTCAAGCTTTAACAAATTTTGAGGAGTTAAACATTATTTCTCATTCATCTACACATTTTTTAAAAAATGTATAAAATAAACAAAACAAAATTGACCATCTTAACCATTTTTAAGTCCAGTTCAGTGGCATTAACTATATTCACATTGTTATGTAGCCGTCACCACCATCCACCTTCAGAACTCTTTTTATCTTGCGCAACTGGAAGTCTGTGCCTGTTAGAAAACAGCTCCCCACTCCTCCCACCTCCCCCCTCCCCAGCCCCTGGCAACCACCATTCTACCTTGTCTTTATGATTTTGGTTACTCTAGGTACCTTATATAAGTGGAATCATATAGTATTTGTCCTTCTGTGACTGGCTTATTTCACTTAGCATAATGTCTTCAAGGTTCATCCCTGTTGTGACATTTGTCAGTTTCATTCCTCTTTTTTTTTTAATAAGACTCAATAATATCCATTGTGTGTATATACCGCATTTTGTTTATCCATTCATTCATCAGTGGACACTTCTACCTTTTGGTTATTGTGAATAATGCTTCTATGAACTTGGGTGTACAGATATCTCTTGAAGACCTTGCTTTTAATTATTTTGGGTATATACTTGGAAGGGTATGGTGGGCATCATATGATAATTCTATTTTTAATTTTTAAGAAAGCACCAAACTCTTTCACAGTGGCTGTACCATTTCACCTTATCATCAAGAGTGCACAAGGTTGGGGCACCTGGGTGGCTCAGTCGTTAAGCGTCTGCCTTCGGCTCAGGTCATGATCCCAGGGTCCTGGGATCGAGCCCTGCATTGGGCTCCCTGCTCCGTGGGAAGCCTGCTTCTCCCTCTCCCACTCCCCCTGCTTGTGTTCCCTCTCTAGCTGTCTCTCTCTCTCTGTCAAATAAATAAAATAAAATCTTAAAAAAAAAAAAGAGAGAAACTTTGACCTTTAAAAAAAAAAAAGAGTGCACAAGGTTCTGATTTCTATATATTTTTGCCAACACTTGTTTTCTGGTTTGGATTTTTTTTTTAAATAGTAGTGATCCTAATGAGTGTGAGGTGATCTCATTGTGGTTTTGATTTGCATTTCTCTAATAATTAGTGATGTTGAGCATTTTTTCAAGTGCTTTTTGGCCTTTCGTATTTCTTCCTTAGAGACATGTCCATTCAAATCCTTTGCCCATTTTTAAAATTGGATGCTTGGTTTTTGTTAAATTGTAGGAGCTCTTCATATATTCTAGGTATTAACTCCTTATCAGATATATGATTTGCAAATATTTTCTCCCATTCTGTAAGTTGCCTTTTCATTCTGTTGATTATTGTGCTTTGCACAGAACATTTTTATTTTGATGCAGTCCAGTTTGTCTTTTTTTCTTTTGTAGCCTGGGCTTTTGGTGTCCTTTCCAAGAAATCATTGTCATATCCAGTGTCTTGAACATTTTTCCCTCCTATGTTTTCTTCTAAGAGTTTTATAGTTTTAGCTCTTAGGTTTAGGTCTTTGTTTCATCTTGGATTAATTTTTGTATATGGCATATATGATGTGAAGTAAGGATATAACTTCATCTTTGACATGTAGCAGCTGTACTTAAAGTTCCAGAAATGTTTCTGGTGTTTGTGAACCACTGTGTTATGCCAGTGATATCCAGCTAATTCACCCCTTCTCTAAATATCAGGTCATCCATTTGTGGCAAAAACAACCTAAAAGGGCCAAGCACAGAGACAAATACTTGTACAAAATTTACGTACACTAACAAGATTATGCTTACTATTTGGGGTAATTTAAAATGTGAAATGACTGCTACCCACAATGATTATATTTTCCTATTTTTTCTTCTTTCACATATATTGTTCCAGATACCCCAGCCCCCTTCCCCAAATCAAGCCTAGAAATAAGCATTTAAAAAGAGGTTCTGAGGGACGCCTGGGTGGTTCAGTCGGTTAAGTGTCTGCCTTCGGCTCAGGTCATGATCCCAGGGTCCTGGGATTGAGTCCCATGTTGGGCTCCCTGCTCAGCAGGGAGTCTGCTTCTCCCTCTCCCTCTGTCTTCTGCTCGCCCTGCTTGTGGTCTCTCTCTCTCTCTCTCTCCCTGGCAAGTAAATAAATAAAATCTTTAAAAAAAAATAAAAAGTGGTTCTAAGTTAGTTACATAGCTGCATCTCTGGAACAAAAATTAAGCCTCCTATTGGGAGAGAGATCTGTAACCTAGGCCCCACAGTATGCCCACAAATGAACTTTCTTTAAAGATGAGCTCACAATCCAAAATTATAAATATTCAAGGAAATACCCATCAAGTATGAGTGTCGGCAGAAAAATCTAATCTAGTATACTTTATATAATAAAATTATCAAATACATTTTGTTTAAACTCATGATTTTAATTCCGTCTTTTGTTTCTTTAATAACAAAAATAAGATAAAATATTTTCTACTTTAACACAGTATGTTTTGAATCAGTGTACCCAAGGTTAATTGAGCTAGAAAGTTTTCTGTCCAGGTTACAGGCCCACCCACACCCACTTCTACAAAACAATGAAGTAAGAATATTATTAGAAATACTGTGATGAGGGGCACCCGGGTGGCTCAGTGGGTTAAGCGTCTGCCTTCGGCTCGGGTCATGATCCCAGGGTTCTGGGATCGAGTCCCGCATCGGGCTCCCTGCTCGGCGGGGAGCCTGCTTCTCCCTCTCCCTCTGCTGCTCCTCCTGCTTGTGTTCCCTCTCTCACTGTGTCTCTCTCTGTCCAATAAATAAAATCTTTAAAAAAAAAAAAAGAAATATTGTGATGAAACTGATTAATGGGGAAAAAACCCTTTTTCTCTGAATGTAGAAATTAATTGATAATATTTAAATTTCCATTCAGTATGAAAATTCACAAACAAGGGAATAAAACACCTACAGCACAGAGCCCAACAAGGGGCTCCATCCAGGACCCCAAGATCATGACCCGAGCTGAAGTCAGACGCTTAGCCAACTGAGCCACCCAAGCGCCCCAGGGAAGAAAATTTTTTAAACGGTATAAGGAAAGAGGGGTGCCTGGGTGGCTCAGTGGATTAAGCATCTGCCTTCAGCTCAGGTCATGATCTCGGGGTCCTGGAATCAAGCCTCATGTCGGGCTCAGTGCTTCTCCCTCTCCCTCTACCCCTCCCCCTCTTCATGCTCTCTCTTGCTTTTGTTCTCTCTCTCAAAAAATAAATAATCTTTTTAAAAATGGCATAAGGAAAGAAAAAGATGTTTACAAACAGAAAACTCAAGATGTACAGATAAGTGATTAAAATTTAAAATGGAATTCAGCAAGACTAGTGGATATAAAGTCAATATACAGAGATAATTTTCATTTCTATATAGAAAATTGTGAAAAAGACACAGTGTTGGACATCTATTTGCCTCTCCAGATTCACTCTTCACCTTTCTCTACACTGTCAGTACCTTGGGATACTGACCTGCAGTATCAGGCTCCCTTGTTCTCCTGCTTCTCATTAGGTTCAGTAAGTGGTAGCACCAGCAGGAGATCCAAGGGACGAGGAAAAGATGATGGGATTATATTACCTCATCTCTCTCCCTGTGGGATTGTTCTTGGTTGGCTATATCCCTCTATCAAAGGTCACAGCTCCCATCAGAGGGCTCTCCCCACATAGCTATTTCTGTCTTTGTGTTCTAGAAAATTGCCTTCTTCCCATCCCTTTAAGTTTAGGAGTAGTAATGGTTCTCTAACCTTACTGTCCCCTAGGTACTGGATAATCCCTGCCGGTTTGCTTAAACCCTGCCTACATCTTTGTAAATGACCTAATATGAGGGTGCATTTCCTAATTGGACCTTCAATGATATAGATATTATTTATGACAGCAACAAAGAATTTAACTGGTAATAAATGAAAAGAGGCACAAGATATTTATAGACAAAAATTTAAAGCTTAATTAAAGGACATTTAAAAAAAGCTATTGAGATGTACCATGTACATGCAGACATTGTTTTATCTCCAAATTGATCCATAGATTTGATGAAATGCCAATCAAATTCCCAATACTTTTTTCTCATGGGATTTGGCAACAGTAATCTAAATTTATATAGAAGAATAGAGGGCAAAGAGTAGCCAAGAAAAATCTGAAGAAAATAAATCAGGTAAAGCCTTGCTCTACCAGGTAGTGAGTATTACTATAAACATGTAATAATTAAAACTAAATTTGGTGCATTACAGATCAATAGGGAAAGATAATGGTACTGGGACAATGATTATTCATATGGACAAAAGGATAATAAAATTATACACCTATCTCACATTATACAGATTAGATAAATCCCAGGTGAA